GCAAACGTAATCACCCCATATCATCACAATATTAATAAACCCACTAAGCAAAATTATGTCCAAAAGACATCTTTTCAACGTCTTTGTCACAAAGACGTACATTGAAAAGACGTCCACTGAGGAGCCAGAATGAACGTTTTTACGACTTTTTTTGAGGTGTTCTGTAATGAACGTTCACGGAAGCTCCATTCAAGGTTGAAAACTAGTTCAGATGTGGACAATGTGGACAATTTTCAACATCATTTAAGGTCTCATTTGGACAATTTATACTTATTCTAGACCAAATAAACACTCTCAGGATATATTAAATTAAAACTCACATTTATTTCAATGTAATTTCCATGTGTAATTGCAAAGCAATTCACAGACAGTGAAGTTTCTTTTCATGATTTTTGGACAAACACGCACTGACACCTTTAGACAGCTTAGCATCTGTAATTTATACATATTTGGATCGTGAGAGAAATCAGATTCGATTCGTAGACAGTAATGATTTCATGATTTTTGGACAAACACACACTGTCTGTGAGTTGCTTGGCAATTAGAAATTACGTTGAAATAAACATGTGTTTTAATTTAATGCATCCTGAAAGTGTTGATTTGGTCCAGAAACAGTTTAAATTGTCTAAATGAGACATTAAATTACATAAAATATGTCCACATCTGAACTAGTTTTTAACCTTGTATGGAGGTTCCCTGAACGTCTATTGAACTTACAGAACACGTATAATCTGATCAAATTGTAATTGAATCTATTCTGAAGTTTGTCTTACCTGGATGTGAAGCTCGAAGACCCCAGGTAACAAAAGTGCTTGGGTATCTAAAGACCAGGAAAATGTTAGATGTTAGAAATAAGGTTAAAAAATCAGTTGTAAATGTAACTTCTATAAGTAATAGGTTAGAAATAGTTTAAAAATCTAGACCAAAAATCTGTCATTAATTGACTATGCAGCATTAAAATAACGTGGATCAAATCTCTAAAATCAGACAGACTACTAAACATACATCTCTACAGTCTAATCTGTGCATCTGCTTTAATAATGCAAAAGTATAATAACATAATCTCTGAGTCCTGTCAAAGACACACAACACACAAAACAAAGTGTTGTCCATAAAACACCACATCTTACTTTCCCTTCTTTCCCCGCACAACTATTGCCTGAAGGCTCGAAATTGCGACCGTTTCGATCGCATATGATCCCGAAATTTAATCTGTGCAATCTAAAAATATAACTGAGGGCATTTGTGCAACTAATTATTACATACGTAACTTGTAACTTATGTGTTTTTAAACACTGCTGTTGTCTGCCGATCAACCACACTGTGCAGCCATCTTAGCTTACCATGTGTGCAGGATAGCTAGCTATACAATTAGCAAACCTAACCTCAGCTCCCTAGTGGAGTAAGCGATTTTGCGTGACTTTAGTTTACATCACCAGTCATTCGGCTAAATTTGCTCAACTTACCGTGTTAATCAGACCCTGAAATTCAGATCCGCTGCAGCGACCAAACAGTTGAAGTGCCGAGGAAGATATTGCATCTGCCTGGAGTCCCCGCCAGTGAAAAAGGGATAATGCCAACTCATAAAATTTAAAATATTTACGTTTGATGAACACACCTGTCACATCGACAGCTGCTCAAATAAATTGTGCATTGTCAACTCACTTTTATTACATTTATTGTACACAACAATCACATACAAATAACTACCCAAATAAATTGCATGGGTTTTATTTAAAATATATTGTTATATAAAAACTGATATATTTTAAGTAGAGAGGAAGTATTTTGATCCTTTTTTTGTATAAAACCAATAAAATAAACTAGATTACAAATATTTAAAATATATAAAACCTACTTTGTGGGTGTAGCACTTTTTACAGTGTGGTGTCCGGGTGTTTTCCGTGTCTCACTCGTGGGATCCGTTATCTCCTGCTCACGAGCATCACAGACATGCTCCTCTTCCATTACACGCTCTCAAACACAAGCGTGAAAGTCATAAAGTTTAATAGTGTTCTCTCGCAGGTACAATCACTCCCTCTTTTTGAGTCCACGCTTCATTAAGTCCCAGAGAGATCTGTGTGTGTGAGTGTGTGTGAGTGAGATTGTCAGTCAGCGTTGGAGAGTAGATCAGTTTCCTCCACAGATGTTTCCAGCGGGTCATGTTCTCCAGCGGGAGGTGAACGGCTCCTCGGGTGTGAGTGTGTGTGTGTGTGTGTGTGTGTGAGAGTATATGTAAAATGTCAGTCATATTCATTACCAGCTCCATAGCATGCATTTTCTGATAAAAACCTCTATATTAAAAAGTTCTGAAATTGTAAGTAGTTTCTATGGGGCTCAATTCAATTGCAGGTTAAACTGCATATATACACACACACACACACACACACACACACACACACACACACACACACACACACACACACACACACACACACTACAGTTCAAAAGCATGGGATCACTAAGATTTTCAATGTTTTTAAAAGAAGTCTCTTATCCTCACCAAGGCTGCATTTATTTGATTATTTTAATTTTAAATATTGTTAAATATTATGACAATTTAAAATAACTGTGTTCTATTTGAAAAGCTTATATTTTAAAATATTATGTATTCCTGTGATGGAAAGCAGCATCATTACTCCATCTTCAGTGTCACATGATCCTTCAGAAATCATTATCATATGATAATCTGATGCTCAAGAAACATTTATGATTATTATCATTGTTGAAAACAGTTGTGTAGAATTTTTTTTCAGGATTCTAATATGAATGAGAAGTTCAATTTCATTTATTTAAAATAGAATATTTTGTAACATTATAAATATATTTAGTGTAACATTTGATCCATTTAATGCATCCTTGCTGAATAAAAGTATAGATTTACCCATAAGTCAGTCGGTCCAAATGGTTTCTCTCTGAAGTGTCACTTTGGTTTTCAGTGACATTGCATAGGTTGTAATATTTACATGAAAGGTGCAAAGGTTCAAATATGATTTATATATTTTTATATTCACTGTATGTATGAAATATAATATTAAATATACATTGCATTTATATTATATTATATAAAAATCCATAAAAAAATATAAGGAATATTTTGAAAAGCATTAAATAATATTATAAAATGTATTATATATTTATTTTCATTATATATTTCTTGTTTTAACATTTTTATTAATATTTTATATGAATACATATAATATTGCATCTATAACATATAACATATAACATGCATATTGCATGTTTTTTTTTTACATAATATATGTGGGTGCACTGTGTATAATTATTTTATATATATAAATACACACACATGCTTTTATATATTTAAGAAATATTTTCATATACTGTATATAGATTTATATATAATTTATATTATATATAAATGTAAGTATTTTATAATTATATTTTTTTCTTAAATATACATGCATGTGTGTGTATTTATATATATATATATATAAAATAATTATACACAGTGCACCCACATATATTATCTAAAAAAAACTTTTATTTTGGATGTGATTAATCGTGATTAATCATTTGACAGCCCTAATTATATTATATTATATTATATTATATTATATTATATTATATTATATTATATTATATTATATTATATTATATTATATTATATTATATAACTGCTTACATTAGTTTTTTTATTAGATGTATCCCTATAGGAGCATTGAGTCTTATTGTCATGTTGTATTTCAGAAGTACAGCTAGATGTACGGTGGTCCGGCACACGAGCTGGTCAAGCCGTAGTGTGCTCGTTCTTTGGTCTTCTAAAGGTCAGTTGCGACTAGAACGTGTTTCTAGTGAAGCACATGTGTGACCGTGGCCTCTGCACATTTCCCATGATCCCGTGCGCTTCCACTGATGCACGCTGCGTTCCACATAGAACCTGAAGGGAAATGTGAAGTGTACTTTTTTTAATGTCATAGAGAAGACTCATTAAAGCAGGGGCATAACAATTCCTCCATTAATTTTCCAGCAACCAGTTTTTAATTAATAGTGCAGGCAGTATTAAATATGAAGTACACAAATTGCCTGTGGGCTTCGTAATTAATTCTAATGGAAGAAATTAAAAATTGGTGGGGTGGATTTGGATTATTCTGCTGTATGGCCGTGGTTTCGGGACCACTGGAGCGACTCTGTCAAACAGAAAGATCTCAGGAATCTGTCGTTCCTCGCGCTGACGGACGGCTGCCCACACTGACCTTGGAACAGACCTGAGTGTGTTTAATCCACAATCCCATTCAGAATGATTTTTGTTTAATCTGTAATTTGTTTTTGTTTGGGAAGTTTTTGTGGTTTTGTTTTAGGTTTTGTTTGAGTTTTGTTTTAGTGTTTGTGTTTTGGTTTAACTTTATTTTTTGATTTTGGTTTGTTTTTTGTGTTGTTTATGGTTTTGTTTTAGCTTTAGGTTTTTTGTTTTAGCTTTAGGTTTTTTGTTTTAGCTTTAGGTTTTTTTGTTTTTGTTTTATTGATTTGCTTTTAGTTTTAGGGTTTTGTTTTGGTGTTGTTTGTTTTTGTTTTTTGTTTATTTTTGTGTTTATAGTTTGGTTTAGTTTTCTTTTTTTGGTTTATTGTTTTTTATTTTAATGTTGTTTTTATGTTTGTTTTTCTTTTCTTTTTTTTCTTTTTTTTTGTTGCTTATGGGTTTGTTTTGGTGTTATTGTTTTGTTTTGGTGTTTTTTTTTTTTTGTTTTTTTTTTTTATTGTTTTGTTTTGGTGGTGTTTGTTTTAGTTTTAGTTTGTTTTGTTTTTGTGTTGTTGAAGTTTTTTTTGTTTATAGTTTTACTTGGTCTAGTTTTAGTTTTCTATTGTTTTTTGTTTTATTATTTTGTTTTTATTTTGGTGTGGTTTATGGTTTTCATTTGTTTTGTTTTGTTTAAGTTTTATGGTTTTGTTGTGGATTTGCTTTTACTAACAGAATGCCAGTGTTTAAGCATGTGTTGGTTTCCCTCATTGAGTGCGCTGTATCCCCTGTCTCTCTGAAGGCCTCTGCACGTGCTGGTGTGTAACGCAGCCGTCTGCACGCAGCCCTGGAGATTAACAGAGGACGGGCTGGAGTCCACCTTCCAGATCTGCCATCTCGCTCACTTCTACCTGGTCCAGCTCCTGCTGGACGTCCTGAGGCTCTCGGCTCCGGCCCGTGTGGTGGTGGTGTCCTCAGAGTCCCACAGGTCAGAAACACTTCACATCATTGCTTAGGTTCATCTCTGAAGCATCCATGTTTATATGTTCGTGAAGTGACAACTATACATTTCTCCAGATTAGGGCTGCAACGATTAGTCGACGTTGTCGACAACGTCGACAATAAAAATTTGTCGACAAATATCTTTGTTGTCGAGTAGTCGTTTGATCTCACGTGACCTAATGTAAGGGCCTGCAATCCCGCGATTTGAACGCTACGGCGCTGTAGCGCTAGAGTGTAGTGCAGCCCTTACAAATGCTATTGCGGTAGAAGAGAAAACAGCGCGAATTATGACAGTGCAAACGAATCCGAACTAGCAAGGTTTAGGTTTGGGAAAGTTTCACAAAACTTCAAATCAAGAATGCTGTCGTGTGCAATGTTGGGGTGCAAGAGGAAACATCCCGGCAAAAGAGGAGCCGGTGAGAAGTGAGTGTTCTCCAGCTGGAGCTAACTAACCACCAGCGGCAAATCTCTCTTTATTAGAGAATGCAATACTACTAATAATAGTAATAATATTATCAATAGTAATATAATTACAGTAATGTGATGACTTATTTTGTATAGAATAAAGCTTGATCGAGCTTAGGAGTCAGGGCTGTTTTTATTATTGTAACACTATTAGTATATTAGGTATTATTATAGTCTTATCACTTGCCTGTATTTTGTTCAATAATCATGAAGACTTACAAAACGAGATGTTATATCCTTCCTATGATATAGGAAGAATATCACGGCAGTCACTTTATCATACTATAAATTAAAAGGGAATGAGAACGTCTCTGTCAGCTCAATTGTCATGTAAAAAAAGATTGTAATTTTATAATTATAATAATTGTTTGCAGATTAATATTTTACCATTCTTTGTGTCCTGAAGTAAATGTCCCTTTTTCTGTTTCAGTTCTAAGAAAAGCAGTGGGCCTATTAAACAATGCTTAGAGAGCATTTGTGTGTGATTTGAGTTGGACCGAAATCTGAAAACTTAAAGAGAATGACCTGTTTAGCTGGCTCAAAGTTCATTAAAACAACTATTTCAAAAGCTGAAGTGATTTTCTTTTTTTATATTATAGTTAGAATATGTATAACTAAATGTTTTAACTAATTGGAAAAGCTGAATAATCGTTCCAAACGTACTGATTAGTCTGCGAAATAATCGACGATTAGTCGATTAATCGTTCTAATAATCGTTAGATTAATCGATTATCAAAATAATCGTTTGTTGCAGCCCTACTCCAGATTGATTTACACTATTTTTGATGGAGGCTCTTAAACCCCGGCTAGGGAAAGGGAAGAATGAGTCTCACTACCAAGTTTTATTTTCAAAAGGGTTTAGCGTCAGGGGCAGACACGGCCAAAACAACAAACAAAACAATCTTTGATTAACCTCTACAATTACCAAAACAAAAATAAAAAAACTAAATACAATTTAAACTTACCTACCTCCCTAAAACAAAAACAATGTGAAAAGATAGATATACAAAATAAAATGGCGTCAAACCCCCTACCTCCCTTAATTTGGCAAAGATATATATATGTACAACAACAAAAATATTTACAGGAGATAAATACAAGTCCGTAGCAAACAATGCAAAGTACAATCCAAAATCGTAGTGAATCAGGCGTGGGAGCACACACACACACTGAGACAATATACACAGGACAGCATGGAATAAATGACTCTGGCTCATAACAGACCAGCAATAGAGAAAGGTTGTGTATGATATCTATCAGCATGCTAGCCATGCTAACCAGCTAAACCCTGAGCTCTCTGGTGAAAACGGGCCACAACACCCGAGCTGGCATGAGCATCAGGTCCATTACAGTGGGAAACAATGCGTGTACTATAAGAGCAGTGCAGATAGTATGCAGAAAGAGAGAGCTAGCGGTTCCTGTCGCATGACTATTAAATAAACAGCGCTTTGAAGAACGTGTTCGACTCTGAGACTGAGGGTCCATTAGATTAACAAGCCCCATGTGTCATCGAGTGAACAGTCTTACACAGCCTCAATTCGCTCTGCCCAACAGTAAAATCACTTACTTGTAATCGCAGTAACTCCTCCATTTAACTTTAACAGTTTATTTCCCGTTCTCTACCACACCTGATAATTTCTGATCCTCACCTCCTCATCTCTATCAGTTCCACTGCCTTTAATATGTGGCCTTTTGAGCTCACCATCTGACCTCCGACCCAGGAAGAGATTATATTCCCCAAAGCCGCACGAGCCGTTAAACCTTGACACCGCTGTACGAGCGACTGAAAGCGGGACACCAAAGAATGAGGGAAATTGAGGGTGGCAAAATAAAATGTGTTCAGCGGGGACGTTTATCTGCGCTGTAGCACTGGGGCTTAAGTGACAGGACAGATCGGTGTTGGCATTTTCCTCCAAACAAGAGACACGGATAGTCGGACGGGAAACTCACCTCTGAAAACTCACGCTTTTATACTTCAGTCTCTGTAAAGCAGGATCCTGCAGTCATTAAACACCAGCCTGACCTGACCTTTTCATACCAATGCTCTGAAAATAGACTCTTTCCACCCCAGAAAGCCTCTACTGGGACGGCCGTATGGATTATCCTGGCCGTGAGATGATGACTGAGTCAACATGTGCAGAGGATAGTGGGGATGGATATATCACTGCTAAACTGATGGGGGGAGTTCAGCCAAAAATACTAATAAAAAAACATTCTGTCATACTCATGCTCATGTCGTTCCAAACCTGATTTTCTTTTTCCATGCGTTTTAAAGCGCCCTTATTATGCTACTTTAAAGGTTCCTGCTTTTGTTTGGGATATCCTACGATAGTTTGACATGAATCAAAGGTCAAACAACAGTCATTTTCTCATAATATCCATTGCAGAATCAGCTCTTTCCTCACAGTGTCTTAAACTGTTCAATCAAGGATTCATTCGCTCTAAACCCCGCCTTTCTAAGAGACTGCTCTGCTCTGATTGGTCAGATGACCCAGTCTGCTGTGATTGGTCAGAAAGCAAACGCTCATCATCATATCTGAATCTCAGCTCTTGATCACAGTGATATGAACAGTAACGATGGCGTGGGTTTGACCTTATCAATCTCAGAAAACAGCGTCTTCTCGACACGAACAACACGAGCCGAACTCTTCCAGTCGCAGATACACTAGTGTTTGATGGGCGGGGCCAAGAGACGCCGTTCAGCCAATCAAGACCAGAGGCTGGCATTATGCAAATTAGTTACAAACCTGCGCAGGTTCAGCAGGAAGTGAGACTGAATTACTGACGACTCGTTTCAACAGTTCAGAATCAATTATTTCTATTCGGAGACAATAACTCCATTGATCTGCTCTTTATCTTTTAAACTTTCCAGAGCTTTTACATTCACACACAGCTCTATTACACTGCTAGCCTGGCATGCCAGACCTACATCAAGATGTTAGGTCTGGGAACTCTCCATTGACATGCCTCAATCCGAGGGGCGGGATAAACGGTTACCTTTCAAAATCCCTCTGCACGCAATAGGATAGCGCTACAACCAACCAGAGCAACGAACGGCTGTGGATGAGTGAGTCCCATGCGTTTTTCCACCAGCGGAGCTAATTGATATATTCAACTTTTGCCGTATCAGGTCGGCAAAACTACGAACACATCTTCCTTTTTTAAGAATGACTTAAGTGGCGTTCTCTTAACTCCAAGTCCTCCAGAGTCGCGGCCAAAGCCGATTCAAAAGACCGCTGCATCTTCATTGTTTTCAAGTAGCAGGGAAATCACCGATGGAAATCACGCGGAACGTCATGAACTGTGCCGTCATTGTGTTAAGCCCGCCCACCGACTCTATACACGATGTGATTGGCCTGACCAGTTTTTGGTTTTTCCAGCTCAAAAGCCTATGGAGAGTTGCTAGACCACACTGGCTGCGAAATAATTTTCGCTGCCGCTAGGGTGCGTCTAGATTTCTAGGCTATTACACTGCATGAAAGGACATATAAAAAACAACATAATAGGGGCACTTTAAATAATGTTCACAGTCACACAGCACTTAACATTTAATAGTGATGCACGGTAATACAATAAATAATATAATATAATGAAATATTATTTATTATGCATGGATCATATATTATATTAATAAAGCATTAACTATTAATTATGCATGTATATATTTTTAAATTTCATTTTATTCCAAGTCTGAATCCATAAGAATCAGAGGAACAGAATCATTCAGTCAGTGCTCTCTTAAACGCTGTCCTCTGCCATTGCTCTTTAACCTGGTCGTCAATCCGAACTACTGTTGTGATACTTTTAAGATTTTCTTCTCCCTGAGCTTGACAGACCCTGGTAATTTCATGTTTTTTGGGTGAGCTCCTCCTTTAATGAACTAGTCTCCCTCTCCCAGAGTTCACAGCTTTAGTGTTTGCAGCGGCGCGATGCCCGCAGATGTTGGTGTTCACCCGAGCAGAGATGTAACGTGTCAAACAGCAACACGCGCCGCACTGAGCTTGTCATACAGTGAATGTGACGTTTTGATTGGTTGTTATGTAAAGCACATAATTAAGAGGTAAACTCTGGATGCGATTGCGGGCGCAGAACACACTCTGATCCGCACTAGGGGAGGCACAATTCATTTCACTGCAGTTTCTTGGGACTGTTGTTTACACACACACAAGGACACATCGAGAAAATACAGCGCCTGGTGTTCAGGGGCCTTGTCAAACATCTGGCGTTTAACAGCTTAGTCAGAGCCAATTAAAGAGCGTCATGTCGTAGCTTTGATTTGCATGAAGCCAGACCTGGCCTGCCAAAGCTCATTTAGTTCATTTCTCCATCGCCTCACGTTCCGCAACTGAAGTCAACGGGAAATCAGGTTTGTCCATTTGTCCAATATTGACCATTTACATTCATTCTTTTTAGTTCACCCCAAAATTAATTAATTAATTTATCTTCTTGTAATTCCAAACCTATATTGACTGTATGTCTTTATTCTGTGGAACATGAAAAATTATATTTTGAAGAATGCCAGTAACCAAGCCGTTTGTGTGACTGTAGACTTCTGTTCGAGACAAAACATTTGAAACTAAATAAAACAAAACAAAAAACACAACAAACAATTAAAAATTACACCTACAGGGACTGTAATGATATCATATTATATATGAGCTGCTCATATCATATTACTGGGAGGGCTTTCCACAAGATTTTGGAGTTTCTTTGGGAATTTTCGCCCCTTCATGCAGAGCATTTGTGGGGTCAGGCACCGATTTTGGATAAAAAGGCCTGGGTCTCAGTCTCCGTTCCAGTTCATCCCAAAGGTGTTCAGGGCTCTCTGCAAGCTCATCCAACCAATGCACTCGGACACAGTCATGCTGGGAAAGAGAAGGGCCTTCTTCAAACTGTTCTTTGTCCAAAATGTCTTGGTATGCTGAAGCATTAAGATTTCCCTCCTCTGGAAGTAACCCCTGAAAACAACCCCACACCATAATCCCCCTCCACCAAACTTTACAGTGGGCACAAGCAGTCAGGCATGGCACGGTCTCCTGGCATCCGGCAAACCCAGGCTCGCCGATCAGACCTCCACACGGAGGAGCGCCACAGAAGGTCCAGTGGTGCTCTGCTTTAGTTTACACCACTCTTTCCTGCAGCTGCTCGGCCATGGAAACCCACTCCATGAAGCTCCCGCCGCACAGGTGTTGTGCTCAGCTCTCAGTGACCTGTTCGCTCTGACTTTACGTGGTCGAACGCGTCCAGATTCCTGTAATGCCACTCACAGGTGACCGTGCAACATCTAGCAGGGATGTGATGGCATAGGCATCCTATCACAGTACCACGCTTGAATTCGCTGAGCTCTTCAGAACGAGTGTTTGTAAATGCAGACTGCATGATTTTATACACCTGTGTCAATGAGTCTGACTGAATGGGTCAAGTTCAATATTCAACAGGTGTATCCCAATACTTTTGTCCATATAGTGTTTTTTTAAGTGTCTTTATATTTATTAGGGGTGTGACGGTTCCCTCATGTCACGATTCGATACATATCACGATACTGAACTCACAATACAATATTATTGCGATACTCCAAGACATATGGTAAAAGGTAAAAAAAAAAATGTTGATTGAAATGGTAAATTTTGTTTTTCATTGTGTGTGTAAATGAATAGGGAGTTGGTGCTGAAACCCAAAGCACAGGACAATAGAGACTCCAGAATAACAATATTCATGATTCTGAAGCTGAAAATACTGAATTATTTTAGACGAATATGCTTTTACTGTCACTGACTAGATATATTTATAATAATGTTGGACACTTTTACTGGTAACATCAGCCATCTGCCATTATCAGAACCCACAAATATCCCCCATCGCATTATTATACATTATATTCAACATTATATATAATAGTTTAATGTAGTGCTGACACTAAAACTCTGTAAACTAGAATTTTTTTCTCCAACAGTAATTTTTATTTTGGGTGAATTATACACAATACATATTTTCACTCTCCATGATGCATATTGTTGCATTTTTGTATTGCGATATACAGTGACACCCGTAATATTTGTTGCTGATTGTTGTTTGTGAAGGTTCACGGATCTGGTGGACACGTGTGGGAAGGTGGACCTGAACCTGCTCTCCCCCCCGCAGAAGCAGTACTGGTCAATGCTGGCCTACAACCGTGCCAAACTCTGCAACCTCCTGTTCTCCAGCGAGCTGAACCGACGCATGTCAGCCTTCGGCGTCACCTGTAACGCACTGCATCCTGGGAACATGATGTACACCTCCATCCACCGCAGCTGGTGGCTCATGACCCTGCTCTTCACCTTCGCTCGACCCTTCACCAAGTCCATGGTAAGAGCAAGAGATTTCATTTTCCCTTCTTTCCCGTGATGCAGTGTGAGGATTGAGGATGTTTGATACCTTTCAGCAAAATGGACACTGCTTCATTCGTTCATAAGCAGCACAAACACATGGCACACACCTAGCTGTGAAGCACACAGTAGACCTGATGCACAGCAGAGTTTGATGTTCGTGTCTTGCTAACACAACAGCCGAAAGGGTTGCTCACACTGAACACGGCTTTGCTCTTAAAAACACGAGGCGGCGAGCGGTGGAACAGAAAAAGATGCAAGGCTTGGAGACACGGTTTCAGTCGAACTACTTTGAAGTCGAGAACCACATTTTAAGAACGATGTGTCTTGTGTGAGACGCATCCATCTAGAACATGTTTACATTAAAACAACAGAAAAGCAGCAGTAGCAAAACGTGTGCTTTTCTTATATTAACATTTTTGATGATTTTTTTTACATTAAATTATTATTATTAATCAAGCGTGCTTTATTATATATATACGCACACACAATTTAATGGGTGAAAGCCAATAAATGGCTTGTTTTAAAATGATTTTGTTTAAATAAATGAAAACACTAAGTTAATTATACTATACTATAGATCACTTTTGGGATTACATTTAACAGTGTTTTTGAATTCTTTGTGTAAATAAATACATATATAAGTCAATCAATCTAAGATTGGCCAATAACCGAGATGGATCCATAATTAATGTGCATCCATAATGACTGGATTTTTTGCATTAACTGTCACAGTGAGTTCTGGGATTGTGGATACATGCGACACGAAGCGAGGTTTATCAGAGATCAACTGTGTGTTTCTTCATGTCTACCAGTGTGTAACCTCTTTTACTTCTGTGAGTTTTGAACACAGTGATGGTGTCCAAGAAAGTTTGGCTAGCATGTTTTTGGGTTCTTGAGCAGGAATGGCTCCTGTGTGTGTGCGCACGTGTGTGTGTGTGTGTGTGTGTGTGTGTCATGCTGCCGTAACGCTGCTCGTATACCCCAGCGCTGCATAAATCAGGCGGGCAGCTCTTCCTGTAGGGAACTCTCTGCGCTTTAGCCTGAAGAGGAGAGTCACATACACTTACAGAGACAAACTATAAAATTCAACATCCTCATAAATCATAAAGTATCTGCCTGTCTCGCACCTGAAGCATTTCCTTCCGCTTCTGATATGCTTTAGGCCACACAATGCATGTGATGTAGTCTTTGTTTTAATTTTGGTTGAGAACTCTGAAGGCAGATTTTGATGTAGTGTTGAGTTGATTAAGTATTAAAGACACGGGTATGAATATGTCATAAGTTTATGCGCACAGCCCAGTCATAACTCAGACCCGCTCATTTCCCCAGCCGTCAGTCACGTTTGATGGATCAAGCCGTTTCTGAACTGTGATTTGCTAGTTTGAGTCCTTGTGCTTTGGTCTGTTGATGAGACCTTTACTAGTTTTGAACATGTAAACAAGAAGCACAATATTTATGACATTTTAGAAATGAATGTGCATTTCCTGTAGAAAACACTAATCAGTATGCAAATATTCCTGTGATTTCATTCCTGATTTGTAAGTGAGTTTATATATATTATAATTTGTATATATTATACTAGCAAATGAATTTAGGAATCAAGACATTATAATGTACAGTATGAAAAATCGATATACATTTTGGGATTACATTTAACAGTGTTATCGAATTATTTGTGCTTTTAACTGTGCATTAATAATCATAATTATTGTTATTATTTTTGCATTATTTCTTGGCCTCTAATGCATGTGGTGATGATTTGCTGTATGAGATGCACACAGACGCCTCACTCCGGACAGCCCCAGCTCTTGGCGAGGTGTTGATGTGCCGCTCTCCCCTTCCTGAACCCCCTCAGATATTAGTGAACTTAACACAAAACACTGCTGCTACTTTATTTATTGGTTATGAGGCTGTGAAGATGGTATCGTTTTAATTGCTTGCAGTCTCATATGGGATGCTGGGAAATTGTTCAAGGTTGCACAGCTCTGCATAATGTTGACAGGAAGAGCCTGGAACGATATTACACCCCAGCGCTGTAAAATGCCTTTGTCTTCTCCAGAAGCTGTAGGTGATTTATAACTGCGCAAATCTAGAATAAAACCTCTTATTTAGCTGCTTTATTGCATCTGAGAGGGACACTTCCATTTAGTTTAGCGTTTCTTAATGGTTTGATGCATCAAACATCACAAATTACTGTACGATAATGTAAGATTAGACGTCATAAAACCAAACAAACTATTTAATAATTATTTTATTAATACATTAAAAACAACATAAAATTGATATGCCATATTAAAGTGCAAAGGATGTTTCAGTGTAATCCGAGTATCATCATCTGATCTTGTAATTTGTAGATAATGTTCAGTTTTGCTGAGTTAATAGAAATGCATTGGGTGCGAGGCAGGACTGATATCTGCCTTAAACTCACAGGACTGTCTTCATCTGTAATCTGTCCGTCAGATATGATCTGCCGTTCATCTCTCGTGCTCTTGATGGCCTGCAGTTGAACATTAGGCCCTGCTGATCTCCAGATGTGTGTATCTTTGATGAGAGCGGAGTCATGTGCTCCTCGTGATCATCCACGCCGGTTCTGATCTCTCCTGGCATCGGTCATCCGCCACAGAGCAGGAATACTGCATCCCTCCACGGACTATCCAGACGATAGCAGTTTTACTGTACGATTTAGGATACACATTTTAACTAGCTTTATTATTATTATTAGGGCTGCATGATTAACCAAAATAAAATGGAAATTGCGATTTGTCTGAGTGTGATTATGAACTCACGAAGACTGAGGTGTATGCGCGGCGTGTTTCATGTTGAAGCGCAGCACTGTGTTCAGAGCGGCGTTCTTGCAGTAAATGCTGTTACGTCTATGGAAGTATTGGGAGAGTGAGTCAATGTGCATTTATTTGACATAAGGAACGCACCAAACATCTCTCCAAACGTATAATGAGAATCGTTTACAAGCCTGTTGTCCAACAGAACATTCAATGACGTTTCAACTCCGCTTACTTTATAATGTCAGTCGAGTGTGTGAAATAACTTCCTTTTGTGATCTTACATGTCTTTATATCACAGATAATATATTATTTTTAGTGCTGTCAAACGATTAAAATGTTTAATCGCGATTAATCGCATTAATGTCATAGTTAACTCGTGATTAATCGCACATTTTTATCTATTCTAAATGATTTATTTTTGTCCCATTCTTTTTTCTCATTTTAATGCTCTTATCAACATGGAAAAGTGGATCGGCTTGCTTTGAGCAAATGTTTTTTATTGAAAACAACATTGGCATATACTGTGTTCAATTTCACACTAACATTCTCACTTGGAGCAAATAATCTCTCAATGTAACACTGTCCATCAATAAAAGGGTGAAAGAAATACTGACGAGGTCCTGATATTGACGAGGGGGGCGGAGAATTCGCATCAGCTGTGTGTGTGTGTGTGTGTGTGTGTGTGTGTGTGTGTGTGTGTGTGTGTGTGTGCTTGGCCATCATCAAGTGGTGTTTCAGACTGGACGTGCTGGGATGATGAGAGCTCAGTTCACAACGACAAAACACACAGATCACTTTGGTCTCGTCAATGGAACCATTTGGCAACTTTTAAAACAAACTTTCCATTCAGAATCGTATTGGCATCCATTTCGGCGTCTCGCGCTCGTCATCCACTCAAAGCGTTACGTTAACCAACTATTTGGCCGGCTCGCAAGCCCAAACAAGTGTGTGCGGCGGCGTGCCTGTTGTTTTGTTTCCGGTCTAGCTAGATCCGCTTGCGCTTTGGTCGACGAAGCAACAGAACGTCCTCGCGTGGCGCAAGCCATTGAAATGAATGGGTTTCATAGTGTAGCGCACCGCACACGCCGCGTCCTGTCGCAAACGCATGTGAAAAAAACTACAAAGTTTGCTAGGCCAAAAAGACCGTTAATCGCGCGATAAAAAAATTTACGCCGTTAAAATGGGTTTGCGTTAACGCCGTTAATAACGCGTTTAACTGACAGCCCTAATTATTTTATAGTATTCTGTACAGTAATAAAGGCAATTGCAATTTTTAACCAGAGAATTACTATACTACAAAAGTATGTGTTTTTCCTTGCCAAAAAAGAGATCATTCTCTATGTCACAAATGTGAAATATTGTGCAATGATCCATTTGTCCCGATTTATTGGGAAGCAACACAAATGTGACAAATCTGCCCTTGGTGAATCATTGTGATGTGAAAAATAATTTGCAACCAGGACATACTGTTGTGTTATTAACCGTAGCGGCATTGAATTGTATATAATGACTCGCCAAAATAGGTTTAGAAACAACAAAACATTGCAATTTATGTTATTCGCTCAGAAATCCAAATCCAAGAAATCCCCAGAGATTCATATAAAGATTGTACAAGCATTTTTGGTTCAGATCAGTTATGCTTTAAGTGTGTTCTGTATTTTTTCTCAATGTCGAAAAAGGTCATTTTTGATCCTTCCTGTGTGCTTTTCTATGGAGTGCTATACGTCCCTGAAGCCTCCGTAACCTTTTCGTGTGTGTAGTCAAACAGCTGTTTTAGCATGTTTGGTTTGACATTTCTTGGACGGTTGGGTGTTGTGGCATCTAATCGCTGCTTGATGCTTCGGGACGTGAAGCTGCTGGGGAAATCACAGCCCTCCCTCTCCGCCGCCGCTTCACGGGACCCGTCCGCCATCTGACTGCGCGTTTTCAGCAGTTTAGCGCAATTATTTTCCCCGGGATTCTGCCTCGGGCGCTCCGCTACCTTTTTACATATGCAGGGGCTGAACTTTTGACCACGGCCCAATAGTCGTACATTAACCGGCGGTTTGCTCTAAAAGGGGGACTTTAACAAGTTCCTCTGTGCATTGGCAAGTGTCTCGCGTCTCACCTGTGAGATAATTCACCCAGCTTCCTTATGGGAGGCTGCATCTCTCTCGCTCTCAGGGAGAAAGCAGGAGATGCCGTTGATGGATCTTTCCTCAAGCCTGGCTAACGAGGGCTCTGCTTCTATTAG